AAAAAAAAAAAAAAAGCTTCTGTGGTTGGAGTCTATTCTATAGTGGCTGGGGTTTGGAGGCAGGTTCTAAATCCAAGGTCAGCCAAGACACCAGGAAAGTAGACAAGGGGGCTTGGCACCTGTGGCTCAAGTGGCTAAGGCACCAGCCACATACACCTGAGCTGACGGGTTTGAATCCAGCCCTGCCCGTCAAACAATGACGGCTGCAACCAAAGAATAGCTGGGCGCTATGGTGGGCTACTGGTAGTCCCAACTACTTGGAACTACTTGGCAGAGGCAGGAGAATCACTTGAGCCCAAGCGATTGGAGGTTGCTGTGAGCTGTGATGCCACTGCACTCTACCCAGGGTGACACAGCTTGAGGCTCTGTCTCAAAAAAAAAGAAAGAAAGAAAGTAGACAAGGAAAGAGAGGGTGAGAAGGCCAGGGATGCAGCAGGGAACAGAACTAAACATAAGACCCTTGAAAACACAAGCACAAATACCTGCTATAGACAACTCCCTGGGGCCCCAAACTGGGAGGTGTGCTCTTTTGCTTACAATGGCTCTTCAACCTTCCTCCAGCTTTATAGCTTGTCACAGGGCAGAACATGGAGCTTCCTGCCTGCCCTTAGCCTAGAGCATAGCCTGGAATCCTTCATCTGCAACTTTCCCTCACCACAAGCCCTGAAATCCCTCCTCACACACAACTCAGCCAAGAATAGAGGGAAAATGGAACCCATTATTCTCATTCTGAATGGCTGGGAAATGGCTTTTGCTTTTCAACATGAAATGTGCCTAAAAATAAGCTGTGAATTTCAACCAGAGGTTGAAAATAGCTCTGCAGTGAACAGAGCTCTATTCAGAGTGGGCTCAAGGACAACCTTCCTTCTAAGATCCGAGAGTTGAAACAGCTTCTCTGAAGCAGTCAGAGAAGGGGTCATGAGTAGGGGGTTTTCCAGGGTGGAGGGACTGTCACAGGCTCACAGGGCTGCCCTGCCATGGTCTGCTGGTGGGTGAGAAGAGCAAAGGGTCCATGTTGGGTCTGCCCCTCTGGTTTTTGACTGCTACACCAGCATAGGTGCATGGTTAGGAATTCAACACCCACACCTAGCCTAAAGGACCTTCTAAGATCTACAAATGCCCAGGAGTATTTCATGAAGCTTCAGGGCTGAGGCCCAGTATGCAGACAAAGCTGAAGTGGGTAGAGGGTATCAGATTCACAAGCTCTTGGGGTATGACTGCAGTGCTCCTGGCTCCTTGAGAAGTCAAACCACCCTGGTAAGCCACCAAACTGCTAACCAGATAATTCTCTCAGAGCCAGACAAGCGTTTTAGGCAGGAAGGGCAAGAACACAACCACTAAGTAAAGAAAATCAAGTTGCTAAAGGCAAAAGATCTTTTGTTGTTGTTTACTATTGCTTCCAGAAGAGTCAAACCACAGGACATTTCTACAATATGGGCTTCCATTAGAAACCAAGGTTGAGAAACCCTGGGCTACAGCTACTGATGGGACCAAAGATCTAGCCTAATCAGGTGGAGTCTTCACAGCCAAGAATGCTAGAATGGCCAGGCCCCACCCCCTCTCTGCACTCCTCCCATCCTTCCCAGCCCCTCCCACCTCACATCAATAGTCTTCCCTTTGCCAAGACAGCCCCATCCCCAGGTACATTCTTGCATTCCTCCCGCTGCTGGGTCAGCTTTTCTGGGCTCACTCCTGAGGCAAGACTTAATATAGTGACTCTCAACTAGGGGCACATTTTCCCCCTAAGGGACATTTAGCAATACCAGAAGACAGTTTTGGTTGTCACAACCAGAGGTGTGGAGCAGCATACTATGGGCATCTAATGAGTAAAGGCCAGGAATGCTGCTAAATGTCCTACAATGCACAAGATAGCACCCATCCCCCTGGCCCCAGTTGCCCAGCAAAGAATTATCTGGCCCCAAACACTGCTAGTGCCGAGGTTATAAAACCTTGGGTTACTGCAAGATTGATATATGGACAGAGCTGGAGGGATAGGGGCTCATCAGACTCACAAGTTCCTGGGACATAGCTGCAGACAATCCAGAGCTCTTGGGCTCCCTTTAAGGCTGAGACACCAAGGCTAGCCACAGAATCAGTCCCCAGATACTATCTCAGCACCAACAAAAGCCTTGGGTAGGAAGGGCAAGAACATAAGCATCAGCTTCTCTCCTATCTCCAGAGAAAACCAAACTACTGAACAGAGTTATAAAAAGTAGCTATCTTCAGTTTGGGAAGAAGAAAAAATTCTGGAGATAGATGGCGATGGTTGGTACAACATTATAAATATAATTAACGTCATTGAGCTGTACACTTAAAAAGGGTTAAAACTATAAATTTTGTTATATATATTTAACCACAATAAAAATTAACCAACCAAAAACTTAGCTCTCCTTTTGGGCTGGGAGTCCTGAGATCAGAGAAGCCCTAAACATGTACAAAACATGGAGTATACATATCTAGAAGTGGGCCCACACATCCACTCAGAGTTTCAACGGGTCTTATGATAAACAAGGAAAGAGCCCTGATCTCAACCAAGAACGATTTTAGGATTAAAATGTATCACTTCAGGCTCAGCCCCTGTGGCTCAAGCGGCCAAGGTACCAGCCACATACACCGGAGCTGGCGGGTTCAAATCCAGCCTGGGCCCACCAAATAACAATGACGGCTACAACCAAAAAATAGTCCCAGCTACTTGGGAGGTCGAGGCAGGAGAATCGCTTGAGCCCAGGAGTTGGAGGTTGCTATAAGCTGTGATGTCATAGCACTCTACCCACGGTGACAGCTTGAGGCTCTGTCTCAAAAAAAAAATGTATCACTTCAGTGGGTATGTCAGGGCCTGCCTATGAGGGTATTCAGGCACTACTGCAGAAATGGAGGAATAAGTGCTTTGCCTGGGTTCAAACAGCTAGGGTTCAGACACATTTCTCTGACCCAAAAACCCATATCCTTTCCTTCACTTGAGCCCACATGGTGATAGCCATTGGGCAGAGATGTGATGACAACTCTAACACAGATTGAAAGGTAGTTTGGGAACAAGTGGTTGCTCTGAGTCCCGCTGAACTGTTTACCCACCCATGCCTCATTCTGTTGCACTGGCTTCCCCACCCCACAGCTTCACTCCAGCTACTTAGGCCCCCAGCTCTGGGAAGCAAAGGTGCCCCATACTCTACCTCTGAGCCAGGAATGAAGAAACAAGAAGTAGTTCATACAAGTTATGTTCCTAGTAACTATAAGAAAAAGAACAGAGGATTCTCTCCCAGTGATAGATACTAGCCATCCCTAAAAGTCAAATGGCAGCGCCCTCCCCTGGGATAGGGAAAAGCAGCCAGGCAGCCCTTTACCACCTGCAGTTTTTTGCTTTGCTCAGAGGGAACAGTACCCCCAGGCCTAGGCATATGAGGCAGATGAGTGGGCCCCAGAAGGCTCATCTGTGATTGAGCAGCAGCTTTACCCACTCATTCTGATGAGATAAGGAATAACCAGGGAAGCACAGGTAGAAAGCATTGGCTGTGCCTGGTTCAGGTAAGTGCACCAGAGATAGGAGGCACAGAAATGAGGGTAGGGCCTCAGAGGTCTGGCTGGGCCCCTAGAAGATCCCAACCCTACAGTTTGATATGCCTTTCTAGACAGAAGATGAACTGGCAGAAAGCAGAGCTGGTCTTCCCCCAACAAACCCAAAGGTTGAGCAACTAGCCACTCATTCACAAGTGCAGAGGAAGAACAAAAGCTCTTCTAGCCAAGGGGCCAGACAGGAGGGCAACCATGGAAGAAAAACCATAGATCCCAACTTAGCCTATTCCTAGAGGCAGCCCTACACAGATCAGGGCCATGGGGAAGAGGGTTAGAGATGCAGTGCGTCTGTCCACTGGAACCACAGAAAGCCCTGAGAAGGACTCAAGAGGCTTCCTGGTTCTATTCTGGGCCCCATCCTTGACTCACTGGGGACCTTGGGTGAGCCTCTGTCTGTTGTTTGGGCCAGTTTCTGTGCATGGGGGAAAGAACATGCCACCTCTAAGGTCCATGGGGGAGATATTTAAACAGCCTGTGGCCATAGGAGCCTAAAACTCTTGGGGTTACACAAACTTGGCTTTAACATTTATTTCAGACAAAGCTGAATACAATCTTATTTATTTATTTATTTATTTATTGCACTTTTTTTTTTTTTTTGGCCAGGGCTGGGTTTGAACCCGCCACCTCCGGGATATGCGGCCGGTGCCTTACCCTTTTGAGCCACAGGCGCCGCCCACAATCTTATTTAATGAGAATATATCAGTTATTAACTTTTCCCCCAAATATCTGTCAAAAAATATTAACTATTTTAATTCAGGAACACTGAATGCCGTTTTACCCACAAAGGCCCTATAAATGGTTCACGGTGGAGGAATTACCTCTCCATGTCAAAAATAAATAAATAAATAAATAAATAAAAGGAAGCAAGAGCAACAGGGCTGGGGCCTTTTCCCTTTATTCCAGCTGGTCTCAGGCCCTGAGACCTGAGACACCTCCTGTAGCCCCCACACTTGGGTCTCATGGCCTGGGACTCAGTATGGATAGATCCCTACTGGCCCCCCAGGCCTCAGTCAACCAGCAGCATGTGCCATGGAAACACTCCCTCCCAAATGGTCCAGGACCCAGGGCACCTGGCAGCTTGCTTTAACAGCCTTTCTCTGTCTCAACTGTTCCCTCTGGATTACAAACAAAGCACCATGAGTGTCAAAGTATTATTTGGTAGATGATGAGATCATACTAGGGTCCCTTTTCCAAGATCTGAAGCCTCCAGGCCTCCACCATCTCTGAGTCCAATGCCATTCACTACGACTCAGCCTGCAGAATCACAAGGTATAGGATGTGCCTGCCAAGCTACTTACCAGATTCCCAGCAGAGCTGGCCAGCGTGGCTGGGGGTCTCTGCACTTTTAGGACTTCTCCATAATCAATATCAAAGTTACTCTTCCAAACCATCACCTGCCAAGACCAACAAGCACGCAGGATTAGTCGGGGAAAACTCCTGTCAGTCCATCTGCACTGAGAGAATGGGCCTAGAGCTACCCTCAAAGTTCTGGGCCATAGTGGTATAGTGGTCTCCACCTGACACACCAACTCTACTCTGGGACCTGCACTATCTCCCGGGGAAGAGGTTTTTTGGACATGCCTCAAGAGGACCTAAATGTGCCACCAGAAAGGAGTATCACTGTGTGGCAACACAGGATCTGGCACTTGCTGGTCCCTCTGCCTAGGGTGTCCCAGGCCTATGTTTTGTATGGTTGGCTCCTTCTCAGACTGAAGTGTCTGCTTCAATACCACCTTCTCAGGCAGGCCTTCCCTGGCCTCCTACTTTTTATCATAGCCCTCTATTTCCTTCATCAGAGCATCAGAATCAATAGTTATTTAATCTATTTATCCCTTTTCCTTGTGTCTCATTTTTTTCCATACTACACCTAAGGTCAGGCGGTGCCTATGGTCAGTGTGTAGGGCACCGGACCCATATACCGAGGGTGGTGGGTTCAAACCCAGCCCTGGCCAAATTGCAACAAAAAAATAGCTGGGTGTTGTGGTGGGCGCCTGTAGTCCCAGCTAGTAGGGAAGCTGAGGCAAGAGAATCATCTAAGCCCATGAGTTGGAGGTTGCTATGAGCTGTGTGACGCCTTGGCACCTACCGAGGGCAATAAAGTAAGACTGTCTCTACCAAAAAAATAAATAAATAAAATAAAACTCCTAAGGTCCCCAACTAAAAAAAAAAAAAAAAAGATTATTGGATAACAATAAAATAAAAAAAAAAAAAAAAGGAGGAAAAAAAACTCCTAAGGGTAGTGGCCCAGCACGTTACACTGTGAAGTGGTTAACATATGGAATCCAGGCCAGATCCTTGGGGTTAAGATCTTGACTTCACTCCTTTCTGTGTGGCCCAAGGCAAGGGACTCAATTTCCATGTGTCACCTCCCTCACCTGGGAAAAGTGGATGATCCTACTTCTCATAGGGCTGTGGGGAGTCTCATAGAAGACAAGCTTGTCATAGACACCCCAGGAAGCACTTAGTAACACAACCATTATCCCAAGGCCATAAAAATTGTGTCCTACTGTGAATTTCTTCCCATAAACAGACTCCTGTCCCCAGGGCTCCTCAACAAAAGCCAAGGGATGTGCCAGGCTGGGGAGAAGGAGCGACCCCTGCTGGAGGCTGCTGGCCATGTGTGGCTGTGTGCTTCTAGGGCCACTTCCAGGATAGCTGGCTTGGGCTTCACAAAAAAACTGTGTGAGTATGATCGGTGGTTAGCAAAGGCCACAGAAACACTATCATATCTTGAGTATGGTGGCCTGCTCAGGTTATGATGAACGTTCAATGTGTCCTGGATGCCATCCCCATCAGGACGCAGCTGTGAGCCCAGTCCTTTGGGAGGCTCCATATCACAACCTGAGCAGCTCCACTGTTTACTGTTTACCCGGGTAGATGGCACCTAGGGTCTCACATCCATCACCTTACAAACCGAACAGCAGCACATACACCCTTGCTTACAGAGTCTTTATGTAACTGCAAATCTAACTACTGAATAAATCCCTAGGAGTGGTTATCATGGATGTGAAGAGATAATGCTAAGCATCACTTCAAAACAGCTCTCAGAGCAGATTTTAAAAAGGCGGCCTGGAAGCTGACAGTAACAGATGCTTCAGGAGGGGCAGCTGGGGTGGAGGCCCTACTTTCTACTAGGCAATTTATTTCACCATGACTCTATTTACTGTGTGAGTTTACTGTACCAGTTTTCCTGTCTTCTAAGCAAAAGTCAGGCTTCCATGCTCAGGGAAGGTTCAGGGGTCCCCTTTGCCTTTCTCTTCCCTTGCCTGCTAGTGTAGGGACTGCTGCTGGTGTGAAAACACATCTACTCTCTAATCCAGGCTGTGGTCAAAGAGTTGGTGGCTCCCCCTTGCCTTACTGGCAGAGATTCCACCAAAATCAGCACATTTGGCTGGGTCTAGGGTTCATACAGGCCAACAGGACTTATCTGGACAGAGTAGCCAGAACTGTGAGGCCCAGGGATCTACCATCTCAACAGTGGTTCAAAACAGCCACCTTTTCCTCCCTGCCTCAGAAGAGTGGAGTGCTCTGGACAAGTGGCACTGTATACAGGCATTCTGGAGAAAGACTGTGATAGGTAGACTCCTCAGTGCTTCAGTCCTCATTGGTGGCAGGCTCTGGGCTAGACCCAGGGACAGGGTGTCTATCAGGAGACAAGTCACTGATGTTCAGCAGTCTGGGCAGGAGGCACTAGAGCTGATAGGCTGAGGCCTCAGCACAAAGGGTGACGAGGCAGGACAGAACTTCCTCACGATGTCCTCTGTCTGTAGCCCAAAATATTGAAAGTGGTGACCCCACAAACAATCCACAAGGGGGCTAGGAAGCAAAGGAAAGTAGATAATGAAGCAGAGGATTCCAGGGCAGGGGCACAGTTCTGAAGTCAGATGGCTCTGGTGCCTGTTCCAGTACTGCCATTTGCTGGGATTTAGTGTCTTCATCCAAATGGGGACATGAGAGGACCTTCCCCAGAGGTCTGTCATGAGAATTAAATCAGGCATAAAGCTTTTGTCATATTGGCCACATAACCAGGCCCACAGTAAGTACACAATAACTATTCTCTATTCATTTATAATCAGAAACAGAACTAAGAAACTTCAAGTTTTTTACAGCAACCATAGCCCAGACGCCTTTCAACCCAAACTAGTCTGAGTAGTGAGGGTTCTGAAATGCTGCCATGAGTTCAGCACCAGCAAGAGACTCATTCTGGGGCCACGCCCTATATCTAAGCATCCCCAACCCATCCTCCATCAGGGCCTCTTCAGTTGCTAAAAGCCACCAAGGAACTGGTGAAACCTGGCCTATCCCCGAGACAGGCTCCAGCCTCTTGTTTTGTTCTGAGCAGAATCAGCTCAGATTCCTCAGACTATTCTCTACTCACTTGTTCATCAGAGCCTCCAGAAGCAAAATACTCCCCTGTTCTTGAAAAGGCAACAGTGGTGGCTGGTCCCTAGAAGACAAAAAAAGAACACCAAAGGTTACTCTTAGATTCTACATGCACATGAAGAAAACTAGCAGTTCCGGAATGAAAGCAGAAGCAGCAGCAGGATAAAGGGCTGAGAGTCCATTCCCTCCATAGTGCTCCTAACCCATGGCCAAGAAGCTGCCCTGCTATCCTGAGTACCACAACAGGACAGGGGCCAGGCCACAAGATCACGGATGGGCAGAATTGAGTGAACAAGACAATCCACACTGGCAACCCTTCATGGCTGGCCTTATTGTCCTTGCCTACATCTCCAACAGAAGCCAGAGGTCAGAAAGATACACTGACTCACCTCAGGCCATAGCACTGGGACCAGAACTCATTCCTTCTGGCTTCTCCCCAACACTGCTCTGCTGCAGTAAAGTGGGGAGCCCCAGGGAGCAGCCAATGGCTCAAGCAGACAGGAAAGCTGGGGGTCTAAGTGACAGGAAAAAAGCCAAAGAGCAAACTATCACAGGTGCAGCAGAGCAATGTGATGTATCCCTCTAATCTGTAGATCACTTTTCTTATGTTCTGGAATGGAAGAAGATGTGCCTGCTCTGGCATCCCAGGTGCTGAAGGATGGGGGCAGGGCATGCATCACTCAGATACCCTTCCAGGTGGACAGTCACTGAGGGGGTCAACTAGGATTATGGGGGAGGGAGTAAGTTTGGATAATGTTTACTTGATTCTTAGGAATCTTTGTCATTTTCTATACTTTGAATTTTTTTTTTTAACAGTGCATATATGGCATTACTACAATACAAAAACAAAACAAAACTATTTTCATTTTGAGGAAAAACAAAAAAGGAACAGAGAAAAGGAAAGGAAACCAGTACATGGAATATCAAAAAAGACAGGCCCTTGGCCTGCCCAGAGCTCATTGAGTAGTGACAGGTTTCCAAGAAGGCACAAAAACTAAGTACTTGTGGGCCACTCTCCATACCTGTCATCATTCAACCAGTATATGCCACTCTAGGAACAAGATGTCAGAGGCAGAGCAGTAGAACACAGAAGAATGTGGCTAGCAGCCTAGCAGCCCAGTAGCCCAGTAACCCACACAGCCCAGCAGGGGGATCAAGACCAGAGAACAGGATTTAGGAGCCCTAAAGAAGTGCTAGTGCTTTCCCCAGACACTAAGCCTCAGGAAACTCCAGAGATGGAGCCTATGTCAAGCTGTGTGGGGCCCATAGTCTTTTCCAATAGTGTGCATTTACTAAGAGGACTGCGTGCCTCCTGCTCCAGGTATCTCTGTGTTCTTGAAAAGAGAGGGCATCCATGAAGACTCCTGTTCAACTCCCTAGGTAGGGCCTACGCAAGCAACCCTGGGTACTCAGAGGATGGTAGAGAACACTGGCCCTGGACTCCACTGTGGGTTAAAGCCAAAACAGACCAAACTAGACTACAGAAAGGAATCTCCACTGCTAACATGCTTCAGGCCCTGGAAACTCCAGAGAACCTAGGCCCTCATTAACCTTCTAGGCCCTCTCTTCCTCATTGCTCTGGACCACTGGACTGTTCACTACTCCTCAAACACCATGAGCCAGACAGAAAGTATCTTTTTTTTATGTTCTTTCTGTCACCTCCTGCACTGAACTCTTAATTCAGTTATTTACAATCTTTCTTAGTTTCAAATAAATTCATTTAAGGCTATCAATTTGCTTCTGATGATTACTTTCATCAGATGTCAGAAGTCCCCAGTATGCCACATTTTCACTGTCATTCACTTCCAAATGTTTAGTTGCCACTGCAATTTCTGCTTTAGCCTATCGGTCGTTTCGGAGTACATTCTAAAGTTTCCCAACTTTAGTCCGGGCATTAGGGAAGTCTCCTCTTATCACTGCCAGTGGTGAGATATGATACATCTTTGAATTGTTCTAGCTTCATAATGACTTATTCCTTTTATTTAATTAATCATTCTTCATGCATCAGGACACCAGTTTGGGGCAAGGATGTTGCCAAGCTGTTTCTTCCCACAGGTAAGGACTGCCCTTAAGTGTGTCCACAGTGACTCTCAAGTGTGACTCTGAGCAATACTTCTTGGCTAGGCCTTGCTCAGTGTGGATTCCAGCCTGTCTATGACAACTAGAGGTGCTCACCTACCTGAAACCCCAGGTCCCCCACCTGACATCACGCTAGGTCTATTAGCAGGGATACTTCACAAGCTCAACCAGGGCCTCCCTCCCTGCCCTAAAAGACCAGTCTTCAGGGAGATGCTCCTGTTTGATCAAGAAAACTAGAGGAAGCCAGGCCTCCTTCCCTGTTCTCCCTCCTGACCTGGCCACACTTGGCCCTTGAGCTTGGCTGGACCCACATCCAGTCATTTTATCACTTGCTGCCTCTCCCTTGACAATTTCCAGATCCACTGTCTTCTTCAAACAGTTCTTCAAATGACAAAGCATCAATGAAGTTAAAAAAAAAAAAAAAAGCAATCAAAAGAGCCTATGGCGATCAGATTAGATTTCACAGTAATGTTCACTCTCACTCAACTGCCCCTGTAGCTTATCCAATCCCCTCTGCTCACCTCACCCTCTCCCACCTGACTCGCTGAGGCCCCTATATGCCTAGACTCTGACCACCCTGCCCACAACAGTTATGCTGGCAAAAGTCCAACCAGGTACCCCTACCTACCACCACCTTGAAAGGGTTGCATACTCCACAGTGAACAATTAAGATTGTCACACTATATGCCCCCTCAGAGATCAAAGGAGGCTGGCTATCAGAGAACAGAGACCATGGAGGCCCAAAAGGGTATGTGGCAAAGAAACTACAGCCCACTGGCCTGCTTTTCCCAGACCCCCACCAGGAAGCCCCTGCACTCATTTACCAACATCTACTGTGTTCTAGTAGTGGGCTACAGGGCCACCACAGGTCAGTGAACAGGGAGTAGCCACTTTAAAGCAGTTGCTGCCTAGGGACACAGAGGTTCTCTCCCAACCCTGGCTGAGGACATCTCCCCCTCAACTCTGGTTAGATGGCAGGAGACAGAGGGCCAGGCTGACCTCTTGGTTACTTAGAGTGGAGTAAATAAACTGTTCTTTCTCTTCATGCCCTTTTATCTCTTACGGGAAGTGCCCAATTATCCAGGCCAGGTATGACCCTCTCAAGTATCAAAATAATCCTCCAAAATTAAATGACTATACGAGGGCTGCCAGAGCTCTTAAAGAAACAAAGGAGGAGAGGCACATTCCAAGATCTGCCTTCTACCTGGAGCGGCCAGCCCTCAGTGCCCAGGCCACTCTGTCACTTTGCTGCCTGACCTCTTTGGGGGTGAGTCCCCTTTGTTGCCGCTTCCACAGCCCTGGCCTAGGGTCCAATCTTGTACAAGTACCCAGTAAACACTGGCTAGTCCTACACTGTATGTAAGCCTGTGAGTTACTGCCACCTGAGCCTCTATGCACAGCCCTGAGCACAGACAACAGCTTCTGTGCAGATCTGGGCCCAAGACAGGGGCTGCTCACCTATACTGGGGGCCCGCGGTGGTACATGGAGACACATGTAGCTTGGTCACTCTACTGCAACACTCACACCAACTGCACAGCCATAAATACCAGATTTAACTTCCCACCCACAACCCACCCACCATCCTCTCTCAAATAGCTCTAGGGAACTTAAACCAAATGAGCATGGCTCAAGATTATAATTTAGAAAATAAAGAAAAATAAATATGTATTTCTAGCACATTGTCCCCACGCTTGCCACACAGAGCTATGAGGGCCTCTCTGGGGGCACAAGGCTTTGAATGACAGCGGTAGTCTGTGGGGAAGCCCTTCCCTCTCCTGGCCGACATTCCCTTCTATAAAATGTGGGGGTGAGACAGGATGATGAGGCTCCTCTGTAGCTCTGACAACTCAAAATCTGCATTGCATCTAGAGACAAGCTAGGACTCCCTTCCTCCTGCTTAAGTGTCACAGTCATGGCACATCCCTCAATTAAGACTTTCCATTTCCAGAGCCTCAGACAGGCTATCAGTACCCCCAGCCAGCCAGATGCCACTGTCCTGATAGCCATCCTCCATGAATCAAGCCCTGGAAAAGATGACTTAATGGATGAGCCTAATAAAGAGCACTGCAAATGGACCTACCCACCCAGGCACCAGGCAAGGCAAAGCTACCAAAGACAGCTGGTAGGGACAAGTAAGTCTGGGTAGGGAGTAACCTTAGCTCACCCACCAGAGCAAAGACTTCAGAAGCTTCAGGACAAGAAAGGCCAAAGCAAGATGTTCTGGGTGAGATAACAACAATCCTAAGCAAAATAAAGAGCCAAATAAACCTCTGAGAGAAATCCCTGAGTGCAGGAAAGTAGGGGAGGTGGCAAACTGCCATCCCAGGGTAAGGTAGAGACTGATGGCCACAGCCCTGTGCACATCCAGGGAGTAGTTAACTAGGCCTAGTTTCTTTTTTCTTTCTTTCCTTTTTTTTTTTTTTTAAGAA